CGTGTTAAACCTGTGTGTGTGTGTTAAACCTGTGTGTGTGTGTGTGTGTGCATTAAACCTGTGTGTGTGCATTAAACCTGTGTGTGTGTGCATTAAACCTGTGTGTGTGTGTATTAAACCTGTGTGTGTGTGTGTTTGTGTTGCAGGTGTGTTGTGTTGCTGGTTTGTGCCTTCGCTGTCGTTTCTCTCGCAGCTCCTCTTCAAAGTAAGCTATGACATCATCATTAACAGTTTATTTCTGAATATTGATTATTTATTGATCACTGAATAATAAATGTGACTCGTGTGATTAATGACGTGTTGTTATTGTTTTCTCTCCTTGCAGAAAGATCAGCAGATGGTAAATATCTTCTCCACCTGTGACCTTTGACCTGCCCATAGCCCCGCCTCCTGTGACATCACAGTCAGCAGAGTGCTGCATCCCTGCTCCCACTGTAGAGCAGTCGGCGCCCCCTGCAGGCTGCCGGCCGCCATGTTACACCAGGACTGTACTTAAATACAACTCTGATACTTTACTCAAGTACATCCAAAATTATTTGATTACATTTACCTACCAGCTTAAGCTACTTTCCAAATTTAAATACTTATAAAAACAAACATGAAGACAATATGTCTCATATTAATTAAACACTTTACACCTTTAATTTTATTTATTGATTAAATTAACAGTTTATAAATGCTGAAACCAATTAATGACTTTTTTAGAGACAATCTGACAAAACTTTTCAGACTTGTACAAACCAAACAATCAGTCGACTGACTGAAAAAATGATGAGCAGATTAACTGAGGATGAAAAGAATCAGTGGTTGAAGTAAATGGTCTCCACCTGCCTCCTCGTTAATGAAGAAGTCATCAGTTTTATTACTTTGAGCACAGCTTCTCTGTTGTGTGGTGTTCCTACTTCTACTTCAGCTGCACTCGTAGTACCTGCAGTGAGTGCGCCCCCTACAGGCTGCACTTCTCACATTTAAAAACTTTGTTTCACTGAATTATGAAGTTTGTAGGAAAATAAAAACGTTTCTGTTTTTTTAATGTTCCAGACAGAACTAAGAACCTGCTGACTCACCTGAACGGTAACACACACACACACACACACACACACACACACACACACACACACACAGTTCAAGTGTGTTATTGTTGACACTGTTGTTGTTTACGTTCCAGGTGATGATACCACTACCGTGCCAACAGGTAACAACTCAGTAACAAATTACACATAATAGACACGCACTGCAAACACACACCAGAAACACACACAACTACACAACATCATGTGTTTCTTTATTTCGCTCCACAGAAGCTGCTGCCAGTCAAGAAAAATCTGAAGGTAACCTGTCTGTCTGTTTACCTGTCTGTNACACACATTAGATTCAAAATCTAAATCTGGAAACTATCTGGTGTAAAACTGATATAACTTTGATCCTGGTCTGTTGGGAAACGAGTTTAAAATCTGGCATTAATCAGATGTAAACCTGTTGTAAACCTGTTATAAATCTGCTATAACTCGTGTGTAACTGTGATCATTTTGGTATAAATGAGATGTAAATTCAATATAAATCTGGTCTGTGATGCCAACTTGGCCAAATCTCTCTTCAAACATCGATTTTAACCTGGATTTAAAATGAAACAGTGACCACAGTGTGAGTTTAGGTGTAAACCTGTTTAATTCAGTGTAAACGTGTTTAATTCAGTGTAAACGTGTTTAATTCAGTGTAAACGTGTTTAATTCAGTGTACACGTAGTTCTGCTGACGTCAGCTCAGACTGTCAGGTGGACTAAAGGCGGTCTGGTAGGAGGAGGAGGAGGCAGATGGAGGCGGGATGAAGGAGGACGACGTCTGACTATAAAAAGCTGCAGCTCAGTTTCAGCTCAGATCAAAACTCCACAAACTGAAGTTTCGACTCAGAAAGTTTCCAGTCGACCTGCAGATCATCAACAACAACAACAACAACAACAACAACAACAACAACAACATGCTGCGACGGTGAGTTCACCTTCAGATAAACTGTGTTGAGCCTGTTTCTGTTAGACCCGAAGCAGCTCGGTTCTCTGAGTCGCTGCTGCTGCTCTGAGCGTTAAACAGGTCAGTTACCTGTCAGACAGATTACAGATTACACCTGTCAGACAGATTACAGATTACACCTGTTACCAGTAACTAACTGTCTGATTGTGTTCACTTCTGCACAGTGAGACAATAAACTTCCACATTTTACTGGAAAATATTTCCCTTTTCTCACATTATGATGTCTGACAGACAAACCTGAAAAGTAACTAAGTACATGTACTCGAGTACTGCACTTAAGTACAGCTGAGAGGTAATTTCATTTAACTGATAGCTTTCGTTACTTTGCACATCCAGATTAATTAAACTAAATGTAATCAACAAATAAACGATGCTGTAGTTTTATAGATTGTTAATAACTTGTACTGATCGTAATAATTCAGTTACTTTATTACCTGCTGGAACATTTAAGAACTGTAATCCAAGAATACACATCGTCCTGGATACTGAGTACTACTGGTGCTACATTGTGTATGCTGGTACTTTGGTTCAGCTTTATTGATGCACAGAGTACTTCTATGGGCTGTTTATACTTTCACTTGGGTTTGCTTGTATGTCAGGATGAAAGTATTTGTGGTACTTTTACTTTGGTTTTGCTGATATTTCAGACTATTTACTTTGTAACAGGGTATTTCTGATACTTTTCCTTAAGCGTGGTTACTAACTATGTATTTGTGGTTTGCTTGTACTTTAGTACATTTGTGGTACTTTTACCTAAGTTTTGTTTATATTTCTGGGACATTTACACAAGTTTTTCTTGTACTTTAGCGTATATGTGCTACTTTTTTTGAGTTTTACTTGTAGTCAGTGTATTTCTGTTACTTTTACTTTGCTTGTAGCAGAGTATTTATGATACTGCTACTTTAGTTTTACTAGTATATATCAATATTTGAGAGTATTGTTGTTATTTTTACTTACATTTGACGTGTAGTGGAATATTTCTGGTACTTTTACTTGAGCTCAGAATACTTCCTGCTCCTCTGCTGGCAGATTCCGACTCTAACGTTGGATTTTCTGACTCATTGTGATGCAAAGCTGCAGTTTTGACAGTTGAAGTTGATTTTCAGTGGATGAAATCTTTCAGATTTGGTGATTTTGCTGAAGCCTCACCGTGCTGCTGCTGCTGCTGCTGCTGCTGCTGCTGCGTCGGATGAATCCTTCACTGTTTGTCCCATAAAGACCCTTAAAGCCTCTGAGCCTCTGAGAGTCGGTTTCCTCTTGCAGCTCAATTCTTTCTATACGTCGGAAAAGAAGAGAAGCTTTGTTTAGGCACAAAGAGTCATTTAACCCTTTAAGCAGGTTCCTCTCAGCTCACCTGAGATCACCTGACTGTCTTTGCTCCGCCTCCTTTTGTTGCACCTGTTGAGTCACATTCTGTAAAAGGACTTCAGTTCAATCGCTGCTGTTTAAACACTGACGGACAGAAAACAGAAAAACACAACA